GTGTTTCTTGTGCCAGTCTGTCTACAAAGCAAAGATAACACATTTTTATGGCTAGTTATAACTTTATCCTCCTCCCCAAACTCCCTGGTCAGCATTACTGGATGGAGAAGCCTTAAACATCACTTTTTTTCCTTACAAAAAAGAAGAACTTTCTACCGTCCTGTCTCTGAACTTTGGTTCCAATTCAGGTAATTATACTCCATAGGCTCCCAACACTTGCAATTTGAATCCTTGCCTGACTCTCAACAGAAAGACATGCACACTCATTTTTAGAGTGGGAGCAATACCACACACTCAGTGCTTTATATTTCATTGCAATTTCACAACTGATTGTTTTCAAAATGTTAGAGAAAATGAGACTTAAGAATTTACTGTTTACCCATGATATAAACTGCCCAAGACATACTGTATATGCATTGTTTATTCAGTCTCCTGAACAGTACAGAAGACTGGCTACAAGGACAGCACACACATCATGTATTGTGCATTCAAGGGTGGGCTTCATTTAGTGACAATACCAAGACACTGCCAGCTGATGGAAGAAGTAACCATGTCCCGCGGCTATGTTTCAAAACTAATTTGGGTAGAATTTATGTGTTTTCCTGTGAGATCTTCACCCTTGTGTACTTCTGTTGAAGCTATGCATAAGAAGATAAAATTGAGAATAAATTGTACAAATTCAAGGCTATTTGTCCTGGTCTACTCTTTTTTACTTTTGAAAGGACTTGGCTGAATAAAACTTTTCAATGACCGCCAATTATTTATGAGACAGCACATATCCCCCAATTTCATCAATAAGATAAACTTAAAGTTGATTTGTTATAAAGAAAACAAAGCTTATTAAAACAAAATGCTAGGTTTCCTCCCTCCCAGTTTCCTTGGTGTTCAGCAGAATCACCTCCTGCTCCACAGATAAGACACAGTGAACAGCTAAGCTACACGCTGTGCAGGGCTAACTAGGCAGCCTCTAAGAAACAGAAGGACTCCTTCCAACCCCAGACAATGCACCTGCTACAAAGTGAAAATGTTTTTGCAACAAATACATCTAGGACTTGATGTTTTACAGAGTAACTCTAATAAAGGTTCTAGCCATAGGAAACCATGCTTTTTCCAGGATATTAAATGTCCTAAATCACCATTTAACAGAAGTACAAGCCAAATACGAATGCAAATTAAATGTATACATATTTATGACTTCACTGGCTGGATGACAGGGCAACCTTTCGCTTCTGGTTTTATTTACCAGAAGCTTATGAATCCAGCATGCATTTGTGTTTCTATTCAAACAAGTCCCTCTCTTCAAGTCCCGGTTGAAGCAAGGTATTAAATCACTGTTGATGTATATAAGCCAAAAGAATCAGTGAACAGATAAGAATGGACAAACATTTTCTCCATAATGGTATTTTACTTGGACGAGAGAATTTAAAAATATAAATACTAAACCATCTTAAAATATACCGACGCTCTAATAATTATGAGCAAACAAAGTTTTCTGTTATCGTTTATGCTTTCTAAAAGTGAAAACAGCACCTTTACCACAAACTCCTGGCACAGTCTTGAATATAAATCTCCTTAATAATGCCACATTAGCTCTGACCCTCCCACTATTATCTGTGTGACCGTGAGCAGGTCAGTTTACCTCCCTACATTTCAGATTCTGACCTACAAAAGATATTTCTCTTAACGAGTTAATATTAATATTTGAATTCTTTATCTAAAGAAAACATACATCAACCCCTAATATAAACGGCGGGATCTGTTGACAATATTTATGATCTTTGTCATTCTTTGTCTTACGATTCTTTGTCATTCTTCCAAACATAAAACAACTACTTTTCTGTACATATGAAGGAGGAGTGGAAAGAGAAGAGAATTCTTAAAGGGAACAGAAACTAGGTTGGCTTTGTTAATTAGGTTCCCCCTCTGAAACCACAAGCCAGTGTTAGCATCTACTGAAATTTTACTCAATGCTATATTAAAAAAAAAAAAAGAGTTTGGTTTCTCCATCTGAGATATATCCTTCCATGAAATGGCACAATCCATTCTAGAACTGTATCTTTTAGGAAGCTCTACATCTCTAACAAGTAAAGGTGAGAGCCAAGCAAAAGAACACCTCATTGATAACATAGTCTATTGTCTATATGGAGAAAAAAAACCTCTTCTTTATAGGATAGTCTCAGGAAAGAGAACAACAATGGGCCCTGTACCTGCCGGCTTCAGAAGGCGTACCTCCTATAGGCAAATTATCTTATGTGCTGGGAATTTACATGGTGAGACGTTTTCTATGTTTTGCAACATATGTTTTCTTATGAAAGATTTCACTTCATTAATTCAACATCTATTTTGGGGCTATTTACTACATGCAAACTACAAAGCTAAAAAAACAAAGGTGTGTGTTTACTGTCAGAGTATTCAGTCCTGAAGAATAAACTCAAGTCAAATAGGAACACTGAACAATGCAGATGCTAAAGTTAATGCATCCTTGTAATTTTCTTTCCCTTCAAGTGGTACAAGGTGAGAGTGGGAAGGAGTAAATTAAAGATGGAACAGGTAATTAATTAAATCCCTTAGTTGATATCAAGTAAAAAGCTTTCCTTCCCCATTGGAATACAAATACATTGGTAAACATTACAGAATGTGAAAGCTGGAAAAAGAAACATAATTTAATGTGAATCTTTTGTTTTATATGAGTGACTTTAGAGTTCGAAGTGAGCTGGGTACTGGTGGCTCATGCCTATAATCCTACCTACTTGGGAGGCGCAGATCAGGAGGATTGTGGTTCAAGGCCAGCCTGAGCAAACAGTTCTTGAGACCCCCCCCATCTCCAAAATAACCAAAGCAAAATTGGACTGGAGGTGTGGCTCAAGTGGTAGAGCACCTGCTTTGCAAGTGTAAAGCCCTGAGTTCAAACCCCAATCACACCAAAAAAAAAAAAAAAAAAAAAAAAAAAAATATATATATATATATATATATATATATATGATTTGGCACACATGTTGTACTAGAACTAGAATCCAGATCACCAAACAGACTCTATCTATGCTGCCTCTAATACCCTGGTGTAGTGCAGGGATCCATTGCTACCAGAATTGAGACAATGGCAGAAAACACAAAGTGAGGAAAACAGACATCAGGAAATGAGTTCTATTTTATAAACTCCACTAAAGAAGATATAATAACATGGAAAACGCCCTCATTTGTCTGATCCTCGGTTTCCTCATCTGCGAGATGAGAACAGTAATTCACAAGGAGACTGTACTGCCCACAGTAAATGGAGGCACTATCTGGTCATTGAAGAAAACAAAACAGAACCATATGCAGGTACAGAGCTGGCACTGAGCTATGACAGCAAACCTGGCTATGACACTAAAACTGACCACTTATTACCTTAATAAATCCCGGAAACTGAGCCTTCCATTCCTCCTGTAAATATGTGATAATCATCTTTGTCTTGCCTCCCTCAGAAATGGCTGGAATTCGGTGCGATTGCTGCAAAGCATTTAAAATTTGCAAGACACTGATGAAAATGTAAGGCGTTATTACCTAATCCCTCTAGTCATCTTAATTTGGAAAAAACATAATGTGGTTATCATTCAGTGCTTTTCTCTTTTCCTTCCCAAGTAAGACATGATCACATATCAAGCTAAGACTTGCCACAGTTCTCATCATCCTCATAGGTCTCTACTACTGTACAAAACCCACTATTTCTGTCAGCTCAGAGATCACACGTAACACCTGAGACTCAACCTTCCCAGCTTGGGTTTAGCTGGAAAGGGTTTTTGGAGGAGTTCCTTTCACTGGGAATGTTCTGAAAGCTTCCATGAACACTGGAGTCCCAATGAAACCAATCCTTTGATTTTTCTCCACTCCCAACAACTGCAGAACACTCCAGCCTCACCACTGCACAAGAGGAACATCTCCATCTCCGGATGGACGGGCTTCATCAAAGGAGCAAAATGAGTCCTCCAATCCAAGCTCAGGAGTACTTTCCGGGGACTTCTTCCTTACGTGAGGAGAGGAACACATTCTGCATCCTGTCCACCCTGTCCCTTAATGGATCACTCACCTTAGAGCTAGGGCCCCAGCAGGCTAACTGTCAACAAGAGACAATGGTAGGGGGTGTTATTTGGGGTCCTCCATGTGCTCCCTTTAAAAAGCATCGGAGAGTATCTAGCATTTTCTTGTTCAGAGCCCTGATTGCAGTAGATTAGATGAAAATTTTCATCAGCCTACCCAGCAACTTGTCTGGATCAGGTTTCTACCCACTCTGGGCACCAAAGACAAGCGAGCTGGCGGTGGGGGTAAGAAATGACAACATGCTCATCTGCATAGATGAGAGATAAGCAGACATTTATTGCCTTCTGTTCTGGCGACTCCTGGCACAGGCATGGCAAATCAAACCGGGACATTCTTCCTCCCCATTGCCCCACAACCCCATTCCCCCCGCCCCATATGGTGAAGCGTCACGTTGACCCGGCTGGGGAAGAGTCGGGGACCCGCAGAAGTCTGCAGCTGCATTAGGTTGGAACCATACCGCACCTGTTCAATCCGGCGCCAGCGCCAGAAAGGACCAGAACACCGACTGTCAAAGCCCCTCCGGAGATCCCAGGGGCGCCTAACAAGTTCGCCGCTGTTTAGTACCAAGGGACACTGGTGGGGAGACCTTACCTTCTGCTGCCAAACTCGGCAGGTTCCCCTGAAAAGGGGAAAGGGATCCTGTATAAGTGAACCTAGAGTGACCGCCAAGTGCCACTGCGGCCCGAGGGATCGGGGTGGCGAGCCGGTGGGTACCCTGGGGGAGCGCACAGCTGCGGCCCCCAGGGAACGAAGGTCCCGCTTCGGTGGCCACGGGCGCCCCCTCCACGTCGCCCCCAGCACAACGCGCACAGGCAAAGTGGCGGGGTAGAGAGATCGTCAGGTCTTATCTGAGATACGAAGCTCCCGAGCGCTACCTCTCTGAGGGTCTGGGAGGAGAGGCCGGGGGCGCGCAGGAAACTTACCTCACCCGGGCAGCCTTCAGGAGCCTCGGCGGTCCAGACCAGTTGCGCCACAGCCTGTAAGTTGTCGGGATGTTGTCGCTTTCCCGGGCGAAGGGACAGCAGCGCAGGCGAGGGGCGGGAGGGTCGGCGGGGCGGGGCCCGGGGACCGTGCCGGGGGCGGGCAGGTGCCGGGCCCGAAGCCGCGGGGCCAAACTCGCCCCGGCCGCGCCTCGGCGGGGGCGCGCGGCTGCGAGTGTGCAATGCGCGCGCGCCCGGCGAGTGTGTGTGTCCCCGCTTTCCCCTTCCTTCCCCGTCGGTCCTCTGGCCAGATAGAGCAGCGGGCGGCCCCCAAAGGCCAGCAGCTCTGCGTCCGGGCGCAGCCTAGGCGAGGCGAGTCCGGGGACAGAGGCCGAGGAGCCGCGGCGCCCCCCGGGCTCGGGCGCGGGTCCCCGCGCAGCGCGCACCGGAGTCGGAGAGAGGCGCGGAGAGAGCAGGCTGCTCGGCGGCTGCCGCGGCTCCGGGAGGCTGCAGGCCCCGCCCGCCGGCCGCCCAGGCTCTTCCCCTTTCTCTCCACCCCCTCGCTCCATCCCCGCACGCCCTGCAGGGAAGCCAGACCGGTTTGCAGCAGCGGCCACGGCGGGAGTGTCAGCCGCAGTCGGACTGGCAGCCGGCGTCGGTCCGTGGGCACAAGGCGTCCTGTCCCGCTGCCGCGTGCCCAGGACGCCGAACCGGGCGAGGAGGCCCCTAGAATTGACCGGTTGCTCCAGGGCTGGCCAAGAGCTTCTCGGTGGTTCTCAGAGTGTGGAAGCCCCGCTAAACAGGACTGGGGTTGGAATAAGGCTACCCACTTCAGGGCTATTGAATCCTGCTGGACACTTCTGGTGGCTAAGCCAGCACTTAAGCACAGGCGCCCCCCTTCACCAGGAAAGGACAGACTAGGATTCTAAGGCGACGGCTGCTCCCCTTGTAAGGACAGCAGGTGTTTCCAGGAAGTAAGACCTATCCAACAGGTAGGGATACGCTGGTGAGGGGGGGGTCCCGCGCGAATAGGGGATGGATGCCAAATCCTACTAACAGCGCTGAGCGGACTGGGGACACTTGTAATTCCACCTGAGGTCAGTCTAACTAAAAGAGGGGAGGGGCCGGATCTAAAGGAATCTTTTGGGAAAATGCTCATGGGCCCTAAAACTGAATTCACTTAATAGGAACTGAAAGGTAGCTGATCCCTCCCAGCCGAATTGAAGCAAGTGATATTGTTCAGCCTCGTCACTTCCTTCCACTTTTCCCTTCTTTAACAAAACGAAATAACAACACTGACGGGAAACGTGGGTTCCATTCTGTCCAGGAAGATCAGCATTACATGATCCTTATTGTCAGATATCTCTGGCTTGGTGAAACAAATAAATATGCTTGAGATTGGTTCTTTGCAAAAGGACACCTTTTTTCAGTTTTGAAATGTCTTGGTAACTCCCATCCCCATCCCCCAACCTCAGGTGAGTTTATTAGGGCTTAATATCAGCCTGGAACTGAGCACAAAAGTTCCTTGATAATAAAATTATCCATTATTGTTTTTAAAGCTGAGGGAAAACCAACAAATATCTATTATTCTTTCCTTATTTTCCTGCTTACTTCTTCCAGGTATTACTGGGAATTTAGGGCATCATTTGCTTAGGACCCTCTTACTTGTATCCAATTTTATGCTAGCATCCTGGACTCTTCAGAGCTCTAAGCAGGAACATATGTCTAGTACAGCTTTGCTGGTTTTCCCAGTTAAAAAGCTGAGACCCAACGACATTCAGTGACTGGAGAACCAGACACAGTTTCCTTGACTCTTACTTCCTCAACAACAATAACAACAAAAACCAAACACTGAGTTAACTAGGCTCTGGATGGGACTGGTAGAGGGGACAGTGGACTACAGAGGAACTGATCAAGAAGCTTTCCACTAACTGGTGTGAATCCTTGTGTAGGGGCAGCATCACACCACAGTAAGTAACAGGCTGGCTGGGATCTGGGAGGGGTAATCCCAGTCTCCCCTTCCTTGCTCCTCTGACAGGCTGCTCTGAAATTCAGGGGGTAGAAAATGAATTTGTTTCCCACAGAGGTGATGTAAAAGTACACAGTCAATTCCTGGAAACTCTGGGAAGATAAAAACAGGTAAAGCCAGAGCTAAATGAAATTACAGTGGATCAGAAATGCTCACACATATTACCCATAAATGGGTTCCACACAGCACTTCTTTCCCATTGGAGCCTGACATTGATACAGAGGCACATAGTCTTAGGTTTCAAGAGGAAAGTCACAAAGCAGACTGCCCACTGGCTATTTAGAGAGCTAACTCTATGAAACAGGATTCTAAGAAACTCTAAAAAGCCTTAAGTTGCATCATTACTGTGCATTAAATAGGGGCCATGTAGTGTGACACCCAGAGTTCCTGATTCTTCTTCTAACTCTTATCAATAGGAATTTGGGAAAGTCATGTCTATTAGAAATATTTCCAATTATTTTTATCAGAAATAAAACACCAGCATCAATGTCACTAGCAGTAGTGACTTGGCCAGGAAATCCCTAACTATTTAAAATCAGAAAATGCTCATCTAATTATTTTCATCTCAAATGTAATTTTTCCAATTGATTCCACCTGTTAGTCTGAAATCTTAACATTAGTATATATTATACTCTTACTATGTATAACCTGGGTGGGTTTCTTGTAGAAGATTTGATAGTAGTAATGGTCCCCAGTTAATGACCACTCTTTATCCAGAATCTTCCCCTTTAACTCCATAGTCCTCTCCTACTTTGATTTACTCTGGTCAATGGAAAAATAGCAGATTTGACAAAATTAAAGTCTGGAAAAGTGATTGTGCATTCCTGCATCCCTTCTTGGAATTCTGTAGAATAAGCTTGCCACAGGGAAAGAGGCCCCTGCAGAGCTGAGCCATCACAGCTCAGGCCATCCTTGATTAGTCTCAATTGTCTTCAGAAGCACAAGCAAGTCTCAAGCCAATCAGCCAGGCTGGGTCTGGATCAACAGACCACGTACTCAACCCATAGACTTATGACAAATAGTAAATGGTTGCTGTTCAAAGTCAATAGCTTAAGTGCTGCCCTATAACATACCACTCCAAAACTTAGTAGCCCCGATGGCAACAATTTACTATTTCTCCTGACCCTTCAGGTCAGCATAGCTCAGCCCAGCACCGTCTAAGGCCAGTCACTTGCATTCAGCTGGCAGCTGGGCAGAGCTGGAAGGTGCTAGAAGGCCTCACTCACACATCACTCCTCCTCACCACCTCTCACTTTCTAGGTAGCTGACTTGAGCTTCCTAACAGCAAGGTGATCAGACTTCTGTGTCATTTGGATTCCAAAAGAGAGGGACTGAAAACTGCCAGTTCTGTTAAGGCCTGGCCTTGAAAGTTCTAGAATGTTTTTTCTTCAATGGGTCAAAGCAAGTCACATGACCACCTAGATCCAAGAGCAGGAACAAGAACAAAAGGGCTTGATGGCAATCATTTTATGCAGACTGCCTCATCCACTAAGTTTCTGGGTGCTTTGTTACACCACATTAGATAACCAACACTATAAGGATACAGCTTGGGCCTCCATCTTGCCGTTTTATAGCCGTTATGTTTTGAAACAGCCATGGTTGCCCCTAAGTAAACCCTGGTCTGTTTCCCCCACATAGTTTCCTAGCACACTGTAAATAAAATCATTAGAGTTATAGGTGGAGCTTTTAATAATCAGCCCCAGTGCTATCACTTGCCAGTAATATGCTTGATCTAAATCAGATACATTCAGCTTGATGAAATCCACTTTTGTCATGATCATTACAGAAGCCCCTTTCGTTTCTGACCCAAATCACCTATATTGCCCTGCATGGCACCTTGTGGTAGGTTCTCCTGCCATGGAGGCTGACTTACTCCAGAGCAGATACATTCTTCTTATCTATAGACTTTGGGTGGTTATAAATGCTTTCTGGGGCCTTTCTATGAAATGAGGGAGGATGAGTTTCTGTAAATTACTAATGCACATTTAACATTTTCTCTAGTGATAGTTTCAAGGGAAAAAGAAGTACAATAAATATTCAGAAAGGTGCCTATGGGCGGGGAACTGAGGAACATCATCAGCTGTGGGTATTTTCCACCTCTTCATCGTTATGTATTCGCCACCTAGGAAAAAGTAAGAATCCAGATGAGGGCTTGCACTGTATCTGTTGACCTCAAACAGTAGAAAGTAGAGCCTGCATTCTTCACTAAATCAGATACATCAGCTTGGATGAAATCACTTTTGTCATGATCATTACAGAAGCCCTTCTTCTGACCCAAATCACCTATATTGCCCTTGCATGGCACCTGTGGTAGGTTCTCCTGCATGGAGGCTGACTTACTCCAGAGCAGATACATTCTTCTTATCTATAGACTTTGGGTTGGTTATAAATGCTTTCTGGGCCTTTCTATGAAATGAGGGAGGATGAGTTTCTGTAAATTACTAATGCACATTTAACATTTTCTCTAGTGATGTTTCAAGGGAAAAAGAAGTACAATAAATATTCAGAAAGGTGCTATGGGGGGAACTTGAGGAACATCAGTCAGCTGTGGGTATTTCCACCTCTTCATCTGTTATGTATTCGCCACCTAGGAAAAAGTAAGAATCCAGATGAGGGCTTGCACTGTATCTGTTGACCTCAAACAGTAGAAAGTAGAGCCTGCATTCTTCACAATTCTTGAGGGATCATCCTTCTGACATCTTTCCTTCTCTTCTAGAAACTTCATTTCTAAGCAGACAAAAAAGGCTTAAATATTTTGCTAATGTGCCTATATAGCTTGGTTTTCTAATTTCAGAGGGCCAGATTAAGGACCCAGACCGCTCTGGAAAGAGACAGGCCTATATAATTCCCAGCACCTCGTACTTTTTTCCTATTTTTTTTTTCACAGCAACAAGTCCTGTTTAACTCACAGTTCTTGCCCAGGGATTGGCGTGATCCTAGCTCTCTTCAAACTTGCTGATGTCTACATTTCAGCCAGAAACAATGCAGAAACTAGAGGCCAATTTAGCAGGCATACAAGTCTGGCCCTTAAATAAGTTCTCCCAAATACCTGGAAACTCATCTAAGAAATGAAAAAGACTTAGAAAAAGGTTTCCTTAATAAATTCATACCAAAATACAAATTATATGCACTAAGATTATAATTATGTGAAAGATATGCACATGAATAATCCCAAAGGGAATATGCCATCATGTTAGGATGGCAGAATTCTAAGATTTTTTTTAATTGATTATGTTATGTTTACATTTAATAAAGGTGTGTGCCCTGAAACTGCTAATCTAATTTCCACTCACCTCTGCGATCTATCTTCTAGTGAGCTCAGTTACTCTCTTTTATCTTCAAATTTTTTTTTTGTTTGTTGTTACAAATAGATTCACATGCATACCTTTTCCAGATGAATTTTCACTTTTCCTACAAGTTACAAAACAACATAAAACCATTTGATCAAACCAAGTGAGGTTTGATTTGAGCATAAACAAGAAGTGAGAGAGTATTGGAATGAAGGTGAGAAAGAAGGAAAAAATTTGAAAATTACTCAGT